CTCTATCTGAACAAAAAAATGGAAAAATATCCTCGGGTGAGGATAAAAAAAAAAAAAAAAGAATATTCACATGGAATAATTTTTCATTCTTTTACTTTCTACCTAACTACACTGGTGAATCTGAAACGACTTTCCTATAAGCAGCATTATAGTTGGGTCACATTTTTTTTTATCCATTCTGCATTTACATTTAAGGTTAATTATTATGCCTGGCCAGTGTAGCTCAGTGGATTGAGCGTTGTTCCATGGACTAAGAGGTTCTGGTTCAATTCCCAGTCAGGACACATGCCTGGGTTTTGAGCTCGATGCCCAGCAGGGGGCGTGCAGAAAGCAGCCCATTGATGTTTCTCTCACATCCATGTTTCTATCGCTCTCCTTTCCTCTTTCTCTGACAAATAAAATAAAAACATATTTTTTAAAAGGTTAATTATTATTACATTTATGGTAATTACTGATACATTAAGGCTGAAGTTTGCCACTCTATTAATTGTTTTTTATATTTCTCTGGTTCTCATTCTTCTGTATTTCTCTTTTTGCCTTCTTATGGGGGAGGAAGGGTCACTCAAACATGTTTTTTTTGAGATTCCACTTTGATTTATTTATATAGTTTTTATCTTTTGTATAGTTTTCTTAATGGTTACCCTAGGTATTGGAATACACATATGTGACTTAAAATAATCTATTGGTAATGACATTTTACCAGTTTGAGTGGAGTATGGAAAACCTCACTTCCATTTAGGTGCTCTACCTTCACTATTTAAAAAAAAAAATTTAACTTTATTGGTTTTTAAAGAGAAAGAGGAAAGGAGAAAGAGAAATATTAATTTTTGCTGTTCCACCCATTTATGCATTCATTGGCTGAGTCTTTTATGTGCCCTGACTGGGGATCAAACCCACAACCTTGGCATATTGGAATGACATTCTAGCCAACTGAGCTACCTGGCTATCTTCACTATTTTAAATATCATATTTAAAAGTTTTAAATTTTTTATTCAACCATCATAATCAATGATTGCTAAAACTCAAGAGGAGAAGGATTATTGTATGTATCCATATTTCTGTTCTCTCCATTATTCCTTCTTTTCTGGTTCTCCAAGATGCATTCCTTTATCATTTATTATCTGTTTAAACAACTTCCATTATCCATTCTTTAAGGGTAGGTCTGCTAGCAACACATTCCTTTAGTTTTCCATTATCTGAGAATGTCTTTATTTCCTTTTAATTCCTCCGGACCGCAGGCGGACGCTCTAACCGCTGAGCCAAACCGGCCAGGGCTCCTTTTAATTCCTGAATGACAGTTTTGCTAGATACAAAATTCACAATTAATAGTTCTTTTAATTTGAAAAATATTGTGCCACTTCCTCTGGCCCCATGGTTTCAGATAAGACATCGTTATTTGAATTGGGGTTCCATATAGGTAATACATCATTTCTCTCTGGCTGCTTTAAAGACTTTTTTTTTTTGCCTTTAGTTTCTGGGTTCTCTGTTTTATTCCACTGATCTATTGGTTTATTCTTTCACTGGTACCATATTGTCCTGATTAATGTAGCTTTACAGTAAGTTTTGAAATTGTGTCAGTCCTCTAGTTTTGTTCTTCACCTTCGATACTGTGTTGAAGATTTGGGGATTTTGCCTCTCCATATAATCTTTAGAATCAGTTTGTCAATATCCACAAAACAACTTGCTGGGATTTTTATTGGGATTGTGTTTAATTTATAGATCAAGTTGGAAAGAAATGACATCTTGACAATATTGAGTTTTCCTTATCCATGAACAGGGAATATCTCTCCATTTATTGTTTTTTTTGTATTTTGTTCATCAGTTTTTTAGTTTTCCGCATATAGACCTTGTTCAGATTTTGTTGGACCTATAACTAAATATTTCATTTTGGGGGTGCTAATAATGTAAATGATACTGTTCTTCATTTCAAATTCTACTTCTTCATTGCTTGTACATAGGAAAGTAACTGACATATATATCTACCTTGTATCTGTATCTATAGGTTTCTTTTGCCAAATTTTCAGCCATGATTTCTTTGAAATACTCTCTCAGTCCTACTCAATTTCTCCTTTCCTTCTGAGACTCCAATTATATAAATTTTAGATCCTATTGTTTTCTCTCTGTTACTTTTTTTTAATCCTCACCCAAGGACATTTTTGCATTTATCTTCAGATAGAGCGGGAGGGAGAGAGGAAGGAAGAGAGAAACATCGATTTGAGAGAGACACATTGAGTGGTTGCCACCTACATGACCCCAACCAGGGCCGGGGACAAACTGCAACCGAGGGAAATGCCCTTAGCAGGAACCAAACCCAGGACTCTCCAGTTCACAGGCCAAAACTCTAACCGCTGAGCCAAATCGGCCAGGGCTCTCTCTGTTATTTATATCAGGTAAATTCTATTGTTCTGTTCTTAAGTTTACTGATTCTATCCTCTGTTATAACTCTACTATTAAATCCATACAATGGGTTTGTTACTGTGTTTTTCAATTTTAAAATTTCCATTTGGGCCCAGTTAGGCTCAACAGTTAGAGCACTGGCCCATAGACCAAAGGGTCGTAAGTTCGATTCCCAGTCAACCGGCATGTATCTGGGTTGCCCTGGTTGGGGTGCGTGCAGGCGGCAACCAGTTGATGTATTTCTCTCACATCAATGTTTCTCTCTGTTTCTCTCTCTCTCTCCCCCCTCCTCCCCTCTCTGACACTGTCTCTAAAAATCAAAGAAATAAGTATCTTTGGGTGAGGATTTTTTAAAAATATTTTTTCTTTATTGATTTTAGAGAGAAAGAGAAAGTTAGAAACATCAATGAGAGAGAACATCGATAAGCCGCCTCCTGTAAGTCCCCCACTGGGGATCAGGCCCACAACCTGGGCATGTGTCCTGACCAGAAATCAAACCGGTGACCTCTTGGTGCATGGGTTGATGCTCAACAGTGAGCCACACTTGCCGGACTCCTAGGTTGAGGATTAAAAAAAAAAAAAATTCCATTTGATTCTTTCTAATTTCATTACTAATGTGGTTCTAAATAATTTTATTTCATTCTCTGCTGAAATTTGTATTTTTTTTTTTTTATTTTTTTATTTTTTTATCCTCACCCGAGGACATTTTTCCATTTTTTGTTCAGGTAGAGTGGGAGGGAGAGAGAGGAACAGAGAGAGAGAGAAACATCGATGTGAAAGGAACACATCGAGTGGCTGCCACCCGCACAACCGACCAGGGCCGGGGACAAACTGCAACCGAAGTACGTGCCCTTAGCGGGAACCGAACCCGGGTCTCTCAGGACCGCAGGCCGACGCTCCAACCGCTGAACCAAACCGGCCAGGGCTGAAATTTGTATTTTTATTTAAGATAATTTTTTGTTGTTCTTTTTTGCTATTTTGGGGGGGTTAGGGTGGAGAAGAAAGGGTACAAGGAGGGGGGAAGAGAGAGGGAGACAAAAAGGAAAAGGAAGAAGGGGAGAGGAAGAGGAATCTGTTTTAAGATAATTTTAAACAGATTTTGAAGCATTTTTATGACACCTGCTTTAAAATTCTTGTCATAAAATTCCAACGTCTAATTCATCTCGTGTTGGTGTCTGTTGATTGTTTTCTTCTGATTCAAGTTGCCATTTCCTTTGTTATTATGACGTGATTTTCTACATCTTAAACATTTTTCTACTATGTTAGAAGCCACTAATATAGGGTCTTATTTAGTTTTTTATTGTAACAGGCAGTCACCCTGTTTAGTTTCAGCATGTGGATCTTGGCCTATTTTTATGGTCTATTCATGGCAGATTAATTTTTCAGAGCCTTCGTGGTATTATTTGACCTGCTTTGTTTATCTGCTTACCACTGGGTTCCCACTGGTCCCTGCTGGTGCTGCTTGAGGGAGTGAAAGCAGTTTCCCCAAGGCAGGCTGCCAGGTGTCTCTTGGTGGGGAAGGGGTGTGATAGCCCTAAGTTGCCCCCAACCCTGGCTTTTCCAGTGTTTCTGAATGGAAAAGGCAAGTCTTGAGCCCACAGAGACAAAAATTCTTCCCAGAACATGTCACTTACTATAGCTGGGTCCCTTTTACCTGCCCCTGTGTCTCTGGGTAGCTTCTCTGAGAAGAAACTGAGGCCCACAATGCCAAAGACATTTTCCTGGACTAGGCCATTTGTAGCTGTGTCCTTTTTACAGGTAGTGCCCGCCCTGGTATCTTTGGGTAGGGAGGAGAGTTGCAATTCCTCAAGGACAAAAACACTTCTCAGACTGGAATGTTTGCTACAGCTCTCTTGCATCAATTCTGCCTGCCTGCCTTAATATCTCTCAGTGGAAAAGGGAAGTCTCAAGACAGGGGAAGGATAGTGCTTCTTCTCCACACATATTCAGTGGGATTCCCAGTTGATCATCCTTGTTGATGTTGACAGGCTTGCATTCCCATTTCAGAGGGACTCCATGCGATTCAGGGGAGGAATAAGCCCACCTGGATACTAGGTTAGAACGTCAGAAACAACTGGTCTATGTGACCTTCTTCTGTTCAGTGAGGGGTATGCAAGATGTCCTATGACTATGCTGTTCTTCCAGTCTTACAATCCCAAACCAGCATACCCTTTTATAACCTTCCACAGTTCTCCTTTGGTTGTCTTCTGCACCAATTCCAGGATTTATAATTAGACTTGGCAGGAAAATTGGGTGTATACCATCTCATCTGTCCTGGAAGTCTCCCTATAAGCCTATTTCAATGATCTGTTTTCTCTCTTAATTTTCAGTTAATTCTTTTATTTTTATATATCTGGTTATTTTATTAAATGCAGACTAAGCTTTATAAATATTATATGTTATAAACATATTATATACAGCATAATTACATACAAATAAATATGTATCATATATTATTACTGAAAATATAAAATTATACAGATAACTTGAATCAATGGTTGATGGTGCCTTCCTCCAGAGGCTTACATTTGCTTCTAGCATGCAATAAACCTCCTCAACCCAATCAAGGATAAAGGTTATTTTAAAGCTAGGTTTTACGTTTGGAATCGCAGAGCGAGGACTTTGTCGGTACTCCGGTCTAACAATGGACACCCAGGAGGACGTCCAACCCCCAGAGCAGCAGCCAATAATATATATCTGTGGAGAATGTCACACAGAAAGTGAAATAAAATCCAGGGATCCAATCAGATGCAGAGAATGTGGATACAGAATAATGTACAAGAAAAGGACTAAAAGATTGGTGGTTTTTGACGCTCGGTGAAACATGGAATTCAGAAGAATACCTTCGCATTTGAATTTGCTGTTAATGTTGTATAGCTTTTGATTAGTGTACTTACTTTTATGAATACAACTATATACACACAATTTCACTTTAAAAACAGTATTCTATTTCAGTATCTATTAATCATTTCCTAGGGTTCACTTCTTTTGTTTGTGTGATGGGCATGAAATTATAGCACCTATCTCAAAGGCTTGTTGCAAAATAAAATAATTCACAAAAACTCAAAAAAAATAAAGCTAGGTTTTAGCCTTTGTGAGAGCTGATCTATTCTGAGTTCACCCTGAAACACAGGGTGTAGCCTATCCTTCAGGGTTCCCAATGAAAGCCTGGGGTGTTTTCCAGTGCCCTTCTTTTCTTGGCAGGTCCTGAATTTCAATTTTGTCCCCCAACTCTAGATATTACCAAAAACTCTGCTCAGAAATCTCAGTTTCTCTGACACAATTTTCTGCTCAACCTCTTAGCTGCACATTTCAAACCAGCCAATCACTCCATGAGAAAAGCTGTTACAAAGTTGATCTTACCACTCTGAGCTTTCCTTCTCACCAAAATTTTGGTCTCCCAAGTCCTTGCTGTCTGTCTTGCTCACTCTTCAAAGCCTTCAAACAGATTTTTTTTTAAAAATTTCCCAGCTTTTCCAAGTGTTTTCAGCTGAAGTGTTGACTTAAAAAAGCTATTTTAGCCCAGCCAGTGTGGCTCCGTGGTTGAGCACTGACCCATGCACCAAGAGATCGCCGGTTGGATTCCCAGTCAAGGCATATGCCCGGGTTGTGGGCCTGATCCCTAGTGAGGGGCAGCATGCAGGAGGTGGCCTATCGATGTTCTCTCTCATTGATGTTTCTATCTCTCTCTCCCTCTCCCTTCCTCTTTCTCTACTATCAATAAACAAAAAAAATTTTTAAGCTATTTTACCATTGACAGAAACAGAAATTTCCCCAGTAGCTTATGATATAAAATATTAGTGAGAATTATTATTTAGAGAACACAGTCAGACACTAATAGTGCTCGATGCTACCTAGGTTGGTTTCTAGAATTTTTCAGTAGAGAGAACTAAGAAACACACTTTTTGTTTGTTTGTTTGTTTGTTTTTATCCTCACCTGAGGACATTTTTCCATTTTTTGTTCAGATAGAGCGAGGAGAGAGAGAAACATCGACATGAAAGGGACACACCAAGTGGCTGCCACCCGCATGACCCAATCAGGGCCGGGGACAAACTGCTACTGAGGTATATGCCCTTAGCGGGAACCGAACCCAGGTCTCTCTGGAACGCAGGCAGACGCTCTAACCACTGAGCCAAACCTGCCAGGGCAGAAACACACTTTTAAAAAACAAAATATGCCCTAGCCGGTTTGCTCAGTGGTTAGAGTGTTGGGCTGCAGACCAATGAGTTGCAGGTTCGATTCTAGTCAAGGCACATGCCTTGGTTGTGAGTCAACCACTGGATGTGTCCCTCTCACGTTCATGTTTCTCTCTCTCCCTCCCTTTCTTCCACTCTATCTGAAGATAAATGGAAAAATATCCTCGGGTGAGGATTAAAAAAAGAAATACAGCCCTGGCCAGTTTGGCTCAGCGGTTAGAGCGTCGGCCTGCAGTCCAGAGAGACCTGGGTTGGTTCCCGCTAGGAGCATGTACCTCAGTAGCAGTTTGTCCCCGGCCCTGGTTGGGTCGTGCGGGTGGCAGCCACTCAATGTGTCCCTTTCACATCGATGTTTCTCTCTCTCTCTCTCTTCCTCTCTCTCCCTCCTGCTCTATCTGAATAAAAAAATAGAAAAATGTCCTCGAGTGAGGATAAAAAAAAAAGAAAAAGAAATACAAGTGTATATATTTGCAGACACCCTTTCTTTGAAAAACGGCAGCATACAATACTACTGTTCTGCTTTTTTTTTTTTTTCATTTAACAATATAGTCTCAAGATGACCACACAACATATGTATACATAGTCCTCGTTCCTTTTTATAGCTACTGCATTTACAATACTCCCTTATGTGGACATACCATATTTTGTTCAATCAATTCTCTGATGCTCTGGGCCTAGACTAACCTGCTACTGAATTTTTTTATGTATAATTTAAATTCACACAAAATTTTAAATGGTCTCACTATGATGGCCAGAAAAATAAACTTGCTGGTATTCTGTCTGGCCTTTGCAGTCACAGCTTTAAGCAAAGAAGTTAACTATAGAAGCAAGAAATAAAATATACTAACAAAGCCCCTACACAAACTGCTGATACAAGGTTCTCAACTGGAGTACACATCAACATCATCCACAGAGCTTTAAAAAACACAAATGACAAATAATGGGGCCCACTCTCTGGTGGAACCCAGCACTGCACTGGTGTCTTTAAAAGCTCCACAAAATTATTCTAATACATACTCCAAATTAAGAACAAATCTTCCATGAATAATCTTTGAATTTCTAAGTATTAAATAAGTGGCTAAATTTTTGGCAAAAATACTAAAAATAATTCCATATTCCAAAGTTTCACCTTTAGTCAGAAAATTTTAATTATAATTCCTTAAAATCAAAATATAGTGAAAAAAAGTTCATGAAAATGTATCATGCTAATAAGTCCTAAAATGTAACAGACTAAACATCTGTCCTAATTATTTTTAAATAATAAATCTATAACTATTATAAATGATATAACATTACCAATGAGTGCTGTGCACTTTAATGTTTAGGATATCCTACTATACCTATCCATGATGATAATTAAAAATACAAAATAATACACTTCCTCATATTTAAAAAATATAGCAAATCATCTACCTTAAAAGACTCAATAAAAGGGACAATTCCTTTGCTCAAACTCTAGACTGTCCTTGGAGTTGTTCCAGATCCTTTTCTCCATGATCCCCCTATAAATAATCCTATCTGCATTAACAGCTTCCTCTACCGTCTGTATGCTGATAACTGCCCAAGCTATATTTCCAGCACAAAGCTAGACCCATGTTTCAGACCCATATTTCCTATGTCATAAATGTAAGACATTAAATCTCCTTCTTTTACCTGTTGTTTTTTCCCCACCATTTTGTCATCATCACCCTATCTTTCAAAACTTATCAACTCTTCCTCTACCTTACTCATTGGTTCAGCCTACAAAACCACTCATTTTCTCTCTTCTTCTATCCCCATTGCCAAAGCCCTAGTTAAAATTCTCCTCATCCCCTACAACCAAGATTATTCTATCCTGCAAAGCTATCATTTAGAATTAATGGCCATATAAAGAGTTTCCCAGACAGCCCTGGCCGGTTTGGTTCAGTGGTTAGAGCGTCGGCCTGCAGTCCGGAGAGACCCGGGTTCGGTTCCCGCTAAGGGCACGTACTTCGGTTGCAGTTTGTCCCCGACCCTGGTTGGTCGTGCGGTGGCAGCCACTCGATGTGTCCCTTTCACATCGATGTTTCTCTCTCTCTAACTCTTCCTCTCTCTCCCTCCCACTCTATCTGTATAAAAAATGGAAAAATGTCCTCGGGTGAGGATAAAAAAAAAAAAGAGTTTCCCAGACAAGAAAAAGCTAAAGGAGTTCATCACCACCAAACCAGTATATGAAATATTGACGGGTCTTCTTGAAGAAGATCAAAAAATATGAACAATAAAATGGCAATAAATACATGTCTATCAACAATTGAATCTACAAACAAAATGAGCAAGCAGAACACAGACTCATAGATACAGAGAACTTTTTATTGGTTGCCAGATAGGAGGGCATTGGGAGAAAAAGATGAAGGGATTAGGAAGTACAAATTGGTTGTTAGACTGATGAACCTCAAAGGGAAGGGGGAAGGTGGGGCTGAAAGAGAGAAACCAAAGAACTTATATGCATATATGCATAACCAATAGACACAGACAATAATGTGGAGAAAGCAGGAGGGGGGGGGGACTGAGGAAGAGGGGGTCAAGGGGGAAGAAAAGAGGGACATCTGTAATACATTCAACAATAAAGATAAGTTAGCCCTGGCCGGTTTGGCTCAGCAGTTGGAGCATCGGTCAGAGAGTCCAGGGTTCGGTTCCCGCTAGGGGCACGTACCAAAAAAAAAAAAAAAAAAGATTTGAGCAATAAAGATAAGTTAAAAAAAAGAAAAAATTTCTCCTCATCGAAGCTTGGTCTCCTGCAACAACTCAGCCCAGCTCCCTGATCTGGCCAGTTCTCTACAGAGACACCTGTTATCTTCTTCAAAGGCTAATCTGATCACATCAAAATCTGCATGGAAACCTTTTCTTACCTTAACACTACATGAAAGGTCCATTGCATCCAACCTCAGCTTACCTCCCCTGATCCATCTCTAGCCACTGCTCCCCAGAATAAGCAGGCCATATTTCAGCAACATCAAATGTTACCTCTCTTCCCTCAACTCACCTGCCTGTAAGTCCCCATGTATTAGTACATCCTGACTTCTCTTTCTAGACTTAACTTCCCTTCATCCTTCCTTCGTTTCCTCACCTAGTAAACTCCTAAACACCCTTTTGGATCTCAGTTCAAATGTCCTTTAGAATTCTGGGAACTGTGCCCAATGTTTTTTGTACTGAGCTGAGTGTTGCCTTCCGTGTTGACTTACATGTGGTCTGATTATCACTGACAGAGAGGAATATCTCTGCCCATTAGACTGTCATGACTTTCTCAAGGACATATCACATTTACTTCTTTTTCTCCACTGCCTAAAACATCATAGATATTCACATAACGTTTGCTGCCTAATGAAGTTCCAACAAAGTTTTCACAGCAACAAAAAAAATTTAAGCTCTTATTTCAAACAAAATTTACTACAAAGAAAGTCCAGACTAAATTCCTATTACATATCCATGACATTCTGGAGAAAAGAGTGTAAGGCCAGCAAACTCCAGGGAGTCACATGACCAGGAAGTCACATGACCTGGAAATGGATGGCCAGAGGAGAAATCGAAACCTAACTTGGGAGGCTCCACCTTACCAGGATGTGGCTGAGGTGACACTCCTGGTCAAGTCCCACCACCCTTCCCAGCCAAT